ATGAATAAAGCTGATTCTGGCAGTGGCTTAGCAGGATAGGGCAAGGCAGGAGTTCCAAACAGACAGAGGAGGACAGAGGAGGTGTAGTGAGCAAGAAGCCTTTAACCCCGCCCGACAGACGCTGGACAGAACTTTACCCGGTAAGCCACAGCCACAAGGCAATATACAGATTAGTGGAGATGGGTTAGTTTAGGATATAAGAGCTAGCTAAAAATATGCTTAAGCTATTGGCTAAGCAGTACTGCAAATAATATAGTTTCTGTGCAATTATTTCAGGTCTGAGCTGCCGGGAAGGAACAAGCAGCCTCTGCCAACATAGCAGGAAGTCAGACAGACTGAGTCTGTCTCTCACAGACAGCTCTCCACTGAGAGCTGGAGAATACAATTAGAATACCTGACCTCCATGGACGCCAGGCAAGCACATGGTACACAGACATACATGTAGGTAAAACACAGAGTAATACTTGTTTTAAAAATACAATGAAGAGCCTGGTACTCAGGAGGCAGAGGCAGGTGGATCTCTGTGAGGTCAAGGCCAGCCTGGTCTACAGAGTGAGTTCCAGGACAGGCTTCAAAGTTACAGAAAAACCCTGCCTCAGAAAAAAAATAAAAAATAAATAAAATAAAAATTAAAAAAAAATCAGTGAGGGATCAGTGCGCTGCCTCAGTGGGTAAAAGCTAAGTCTGACGTCAATCTAAGGAACCCGTGTGGTGGAAGAGACCTGACTCCCAAAACGTGAAAATTGTCCTCTGGTGAATTCAAGGCCAAGGCCAGCCTGATCCACAGAGAGTTTCGGGGCAGCCAGTTCTACACAGAGAGCCCTTGTCTCAAAAAAGAAAGGAAGGAGGGAAGGAAAGAAGGAGGGAGGAAGAGAGGGACGGAGGGAGGAAAGGAAAGGGGAAGGAAGGGGGAGGGAGGACAAGGAGAAAGAAGGTGTCCTCTGATATCTGCAGGCACACTGTGGCACAAGCATATGTGTATTGTGTGGAATTTTCCATAGTTAGAAAAGACAAGCGACTAAGAGACTGCTTGCTCACTCAGCGGTCACACACCCTTCCACACCCCACACTGCGCCTCGTTACCCTCTGGGCCCTAGGATCTTGGGGTGATTAGGGAAGGGGACTGTCACCCTGACTCTCCTTGGTCCACAGTGCCATGCTTCTTTGTGGCTGCTCTACTTTGGTTCCCATCCACAGCTGCCTCGCTTCTTCCCCAGCCCTCTCTTTATACCAGACCCTTAGGGCGTTTGCCTGCCTATACGACTACACCATGTACACGCAGTGTCCACAGAGGACAGTGTCAGGTCTTTGAGCACTGTGGTTGCAGAAGGTTGTGAGCCACCATGTGGGTGTTGGGAACTGTGCCCAAGTTCTTTGGAAGAACAGTCAGTGCTCTCAACACTGAGCCATCTCTCCAGCGCCCCCCCATGCTCCAGCCAAACCCCTCTTTATCACTCACCTCTTCCCCACCTTAGGCAACGAGCCAGATCATTTCCAGTGCCCAGGGGCAACACAGCAACAGGAGGCACAACAGGCAAGTTGGCTTTGTCTGAGGAGGCAGGCGAGGAGAAGGGATGGAGGGGCTGGCCCTGGAGCACTACTTCCCCATCCCCTGCCCACAGGCTCCTCTCCCTGCACTGACCAATGCTTTCTAGAATCCAGCCTACTGTGCCGTCTCCACCACACACCAATACCCGGAACTGAGGAACGTCTCTGAAAAATTTGAGCCTGAGATAGGAGGAAAGAGAGAAAATTGAAGAAGGATAACTGGAATCGACCAGGTCCTGAACAGATAAGTCACTTCTTATCTCTCATGCCTTTGACCCTGTTTCCTGTTGTGGAACAGACTTTAACGGTGTAAAAATGTGCTGCTTTTGTTTATGCTGCATTTGTTTAGCTATGGAAAGATGTGGTGCTGTTTTTACCTTGCCTGCCTAAGGCGCCTGATTGGTCTAATGAAAAGCTGACCAGTCAATAGCTATGGAAAGATGTGGTGCTGTTTTTACCTTGCCTGCCTAAGGCGCCTGATTGGTCTAATGAAAAGCTAAAAACCAGTCAAAAGCTAGGCAGGGCTGGGAGGCAGAGAGAAGTAGGAGGGATTTAGGCTTGAGCAATAAGAAAGAAGGGAGAATGAGGGAGAAAAGGAGGGAGACACCCAGGGTCAGTCAGCCACCAGACACAGAGCAAGCAGTGAAAGTCGGACATACAGAATGAAAGAAAGATAGAAAGCCTCAAGGCAAAATGTAGATGAAGAGAAATTAAGGTTAATTTAAGTTGTAAGAGCTAGTGGGACAAGCGGAAGATAAGACTGAGCGTTCATTGCTAATAACAAGTCTCCATGTCATGATTTGGGAGCTGGTTAGTGGCCCAAAAGGAAGCAGTTACAGTTTCCCCATGCCAAGACTTCAGCTTGGGGCCGACAGGTTGACGGAGTCGGTAAAGCACTGACTTTCCAAGCCCCAGGACCTGAATTTGATCCCCGGAACCAACATAAAAAGGCCAGTCATGGTGGTGTGTGTTCTCCCTACAGTGCTGCCGGGGAAGCAAGCTGGAGGGTCTCTGGGCTCATTGGTCAACCAGTCCAGCCTTGTCTCAAAAGAAGGACGGCATTCCTAAAGGTGATACCTGAAACTGTTCCATGGCCTTGATCCACCCAAGCACCCGCCCCCCAACAGCTCCCCATCCTTCCCACACACGCCATTTTTAAAGTACATAAAAGGGCTCGTCGAGCAAACTCAACAACCTGACTTCAATCCTCACGACTTGATTCTTAAAAGCTGTCCTGTGACTTCCTCTATTCATGTGGCATATACACACACCGATGATTAATAATAATAATGATGATGATGATTAATAATAATAATAATAATAAATTAAATGAAACTGTAAAGAGCTGGGCAGATGGTCAGGTAAAATTTCTTCTCATCAAGCACAAAGATTTTGAGTTTTGATCCCCAGAACCCATGCTAAAACAACAAACAAACAAACAAACAAACAAAATACAAAAAGCAAGGGTGACCATAGGCTCCTGGAAACCTACCACTGGGAAAAATTGAGGAAAAAAAAGAAGATTTGAGATTTTAATAAGGGTGGAGAAAGGAGAATGGGCAAGTTCTCGCTATCCTTCAGTGGTTAGAGAGAATTCTCTCTGTCCTTTGAGAGCAGAACCAAGAGTCAGAAAACCGGAAGTAATGGGATCATAGTAACTTGAAGGGAAGATAGCATTTGGGAATCTGAGCTCTTGGGTCTCCTCTAACAGTCTCTCTCTCTCTCTCTCTCTCTCTCTCTCCACACACCACACACACACACCTCAAGCCCTGTGATACAACAGCCCCTCGCCTATACCCACCCTTGCTCTGGACCATCCTTCTTCAGGTTGAACACCTGCCGAGGGTTTAGCATATACTGGAACTTCCAAAGCACCCTATGTGAAAGGAGAAGAGGCAATGTGGCCTGGCTGACAGCACTGATACTCTGTACTGTTTTAATGGCGTCCCCCAAAGGACCCCTCCACACTCATTCCCTCCTCCCTCCACACTCTGACTCTCCCTGCCCTACTAGGAAGAACGGTGTATGTCTGCTCACCTCTGCCCCTGCTTCCCTCCACTCTTAGGATTGACAAACACTAGAAGCGGATGGGTGTTAGGAACAGGGTCAATCTGCAAAAATATGATTTTGTCAAAGATAAAGGTAGGGCCTTCAGAGGCATGACTGACATTTCCTAAGACGCTTCCCCTCTCCTGTTTCATCCCCCTTCTCCTCCTCGACCAAGCGTTTAGACAGCAGCTATACGCTTTCTATTTCAGTCTTCCCCAAGAAGGCGCCAGTCAAAAGCTGGCATGACCTTTAGGCCCAAGCCCCTCATCCCTGTACCCGAAGAGCATCAATGGTAGACAGGCTTGCGTCATCTGCGGTCTTCAGTTTGCGATCTGATACAGATGCCTGGGAAGGGCAAGAAAAGGTGGGTTATGCAGGAATCAAATGCATGGGTGTCACCAGAACACGAAAGGTCCTGGCTCTCTGTTCTAAATGTCACTCTGGCTGGGTATGGTGGCTCACATCTATCCTCATAATCCCATCCCTGGGGAGGCAGAGGTAGGCAGATCTGAGTTCAAGGTTAGCTTGGCCTACACAGCAAGTTTCAGGCAGGCCAGGGTTACACAGTGAGAAACAATAACAAAACCACACATCAAAACAAAGGTATTATCTATGGAGAGGTGTGTTCATGGAAAAGCAGGGATAGGCTGTCCCTTCCCAGCTGCTGTTGATGGTCTCACCAGAACTGTGGGATAAATGGAAGACGGAGGCAGGATATGATCACGGAGCGGCCCACAGTCACACTCGGTCCCCACAGCCTGCAGACAGTCGTCATGGATCTAGGAGCACAAAACGGGTACAAGTCACGCAGGAGGCTTTATCAGTTCTCAACCTGAGAGTCTGGACAGGAAAGAGAGCCCTCGGGAGCAAGAATGACTGTGGCAGTTAGAGATGTGGGGTGCTCTGGTCTCAGCCTGGGACTGGGCGGGGCTGGGCTGGGCGGGAAGGGGCGGGGCGGGGCGAGGCTGGGCTGGGCGGGACGGGGCGGGACAAAGACAGCTCCTGAACCGACCTCCAGGTGGCACCACACACAATGCAGTCCTGTGAGGCTATGGTAGATGCGGATCTTTTTCTGGCAGCGGTCACAACGTCCAGAATCACAGCCTCCTCGAACCCACACATGTGACTGGACCTTGGGGGAGAAGGGCAAGGCCTTGTCTGGGAAGGTCTTGTGTGGGAGGGAATGAGGACAGGGACCAGGGGTTGGCAGCGTTGGGAACGAATTGGGCGTGGGGTCACTCACACCAATGTCTTTCCGAGACTTGGCATAGGTGCTGACTTCACAAGGCTGGGCCTTCATGGCACAGTGGTCATGAACAGTGTACTTACAGACTGGGGAGAGGGAAGAAGGGCAGAGCTTTAATTGTGGCCTTTCCCCCTCTTCTCCTTTCTTGGGAGTGAAGAAGAATCTCTCACTGGAGCAAGACCTGCAACCCTTGCTGCCAGGTTGCAGTAGAGAATTAAAGTTTGCAAGGGCAGGCCTTGTCTCATTCTCCTAAAAAGGCAAATGCCACCTCCTATCGGTCCCTACAGTGTCCCCATGGCTGGCTGGAACTATGCCACCTCCTATCGGTCCCTACAGTGTCCCCATGGCTGACTGGAACTAAGCCACCTCCTATCGGTCCCTACACTGTCCCTATGGCTGGCTGGAACTGACGTAGCAAGTTCTGGCCAGCCAGAGCTACACAGCGAAACCTTGTATCAATAAAATAATCGAATCTTTGATGCAATGCCTCCCTTTAATTAATTAATTGAGTTTATTTGTGTGGGGGGGGTAGCATGTACCACAGTGTACACGCAGAGGTCATAAGACAACTCTCTAGTCCATTTTCTCCTCTCATTTCACAGGTTCTCGGGATGGAGCTCAGGACAGCAGGTCTGGCAACAAGTGCTTTTGCCCACTGAATTAGCTTCCCAACCCCTATTTGTTTGTTTTGAGATAGGGTCTTATGTAGTCCAGGCTGTGCGGAAGGCTGACCTTGAACTTCCTCTGTAACTGGGGTCAGCCCTGAACTCATGATCCCCCTCCCCACAGCTGAGGAGTGCTGTGACCACGTGTGACCACGTGTGACCATGTGTTATAATGGCTAGTAGTATGAACGTATCTACTGTTTACAATGACTTCCTCTTTCAAGTCAAAGAAACTAAAGCTTAAAGAAAATACATGAAACTGGGCAAGATGACTCACCCCTTTAGTGCTAACATTCGGGAAACTGAGGCAAGCTAGATATGGTGGTGTACACCTTTAGTGCCAACACTCAGGAGGAAGAGGCGGGGGGGGGGTCTCTGTGAGTTCCAGACCAGCCTGAGCTACAATGCAAGAACCTGTCTTTTTACTTATAATTTTTTAAAAAAATAATAAAGATTATTTGACAAGAGAGAAAAAGACATACAGACTTGGGTTTGAATCCGAGAACACACAAATAATAATTAATAATAAAAGTTACGTTGCTTTTGCAGGATCATATAGAGGGAGTGTCAGAGCCTACAGTTCTAATCCTTGTTTCTCTGAGGTCATAACATCACGTCCCCACTAATTGCCGGGCTTCCCTCTGCCCACACCCCGGGTGTCATCACTCACGGTTACAGCTCAGGCCCTGTTTGCCAAGGCCAATGCTCAGCTCGCACAGGTTGCAGTAGACTGGTCTGGGGAATCTCTTGGGTCTCCACATGTGTACCCCATCATCCTTCAGAGTCTAGGGGGTCACAGAGGATGACAGCTTCTTAGGAGGCCAGTTCTCCGGTGAGTATAAGCCAAGACAGCTCTTGACCGTGCCTACAAATCTTTCCCACTCACCATATCTACCCCCAGAAGCACAAGCAGCGGTACGGTGGTAGCGCCAGCCCGGACCCACTCTTCTAGGGAGACAGAGCCACTGCCATCGTAGTCGATCTCTTTCATCATCTCCTGAAGGATCTGAGGAGAAGAGAGGGAGCCCTTGCTGAGGGTGGCCCCAGACACCTCCCTGCTGTCTCTCAGAACACCCAGCGGGAGTCCTTACTGAGAGTGACCCCAGACACCTACCCGCTGTCTCTGAGAGTGACCCCAGACACCTCCCCGCTGTCTCTCAGGACACCCAGAGGAAGCCCTTGCTGAGAGTGACCCCAGACACCTCCCTGCTGTCTCTCAGAACACCCAGAGGAAGCCCTTGCTGAGAGTGACCCCAGACACCTCCCTGCTGTCTCTCAGAACACCCAGAGGAAGCCCTTGCGGAGAGTGACCCCAGACACCTCCCCGCTGTCTCTCAGGACACCCAGCGCAGTCATCCTAGCAGAGGGACCCAAGTGCCCATTAGAGATGGGATAAGGCAGATATAGGACCGTGGGGAAGAGGGTGCAGAAAGGCAAGGGACAAACTGTCTTACGGGTTTCAGCTCGGACACATCCCAGTCTAGATATTCGGCCACTCGGATCATCTGGAGGATAATTCTTTCTACTTCCTGGGGCAGAGAGGGTAAAAGCCAGAGCTAGTCACCTCCGGTCACCACTACTCAAGTCTAGAAACCGGGGCTCCTGGATGCCCCTTCCAAATGCACCCCCTGTTCTCAGGAACCCTCCGACAAGTCAGTAAACATGCGGCCGCTTCCCACCTCCAGCCTTCTCTTTCAGAGTTCAAGCTCTTCACATTTGGTCCTAGTGGACTAAGAATCCTCTAGACACCACTGTCTCCTCTTTGTTGGTGGTTGTGGTGAGAGGGTAGTGTTGGAGATGAATTTAAGGCCATGTGCATGCTAGGCAAGCACCACACCACTGAGCTGCACCCCCCACCTTTGCTCTGCTTCTGGAGACCCTGGGAAAGTCCAGGCGGGAGAGTACGGGCAGATGGACAGAGTCCCTTGCTCAGCACACGGGTCTCACAACTCACCGAGCTGTCCAGGATCCCGTTTCTATCCGAGTCGTACAGCTTGAAGGTGACTGTGAAGTTTTGGAGGAACCTAGTCAGTTTGTGAGAAAGATCTAAAGAATTCACTCCAAGGCCAGGCATGAAAGGGCTTGTAATCCCAGCACTTGGAAGGTAAAGGCAGGCAGATCTCTCTGAGTTCAAGGCTACCCTGATCTACTTAGTGAGTTCCAGGCCAGCTTGGGATACATAGTGAGACCCTGTCTCAAAAACAAAACAAAACAAACAAAGAGACAAACAAACCCACAACAAAAAACAAAACAAAACAAAACCCCAAAGTATTCAGAAAACAGAGGAAAATAAAGAGATATGGAAGTCAAGAGGAGGACTGAGGCCGTCAGTGGTGGCGCACACCTTTAACCCCAGTACTCAGGAGGCAGAGACAGGGGGATCTCTGTGAGTTCAAGGCCAGCCTGGTCTATAGCATAAGTTCCAGGACAGGCTCCAAAGCTACAGAGAAGCCCTGCCTCGGGGAAGAAGAAAAAAAAAACAGGTTTGATAGAACAGATGAGCAGGAAGGGTAGCTGGAAGCCCAGATATACACTAGGACTCAGGAGGCTGAGGCAGGAGGATAGTGAGTTTGAGACCCGGATGACTTACACATTGTGAGACCCTGTCACATACATATAAAACAAAAAGGTAGGAAAAACAGCAATGCATGCCAGCCCTGGTAAATATAATGAAGACAGCACACACTTCTGTGCACCATGAGCATCCAAGGCCACCTACATGGGGATGTCTAAGACGTGGGACCTGGAGTGACCTGCTGTAGCGTGTGTAGGCAGTCAAGGAGGACAGAGGAAATAGGCCCGCTCTCTGGTGCACCCTTGTCAGCCTTTAGAAATTCCAAAGGAATGAGGAAAGGGGGTCTGGGGAATACTTCCCTTCCCCTGCTCAGAATGGCACACTCACATTCTAGCTTGTCTTCTGGCCGGCCACCCTCCAGGAGGGAGAAGTAGCAGGAGACATCACTGAGGCAGATCACATTGCCTACAAAATGAAAACATGGCAGAGCCAAGGTCAGGCCCCTTCTACTTTGGGTCTTTTTCTTGTGCTTCTCTCAGCTCTCCCCTTCATCTTTCTTTACACTAGCTCCTAGCTCCTTCTCTCTTGACCTGCCCACAATAAGCAACTTCTTCAGTTGTCATCCCCAAAGGCAAACTACTTTGGCTGTTTTTCCGAGGCCCAGCCCAGCTCCACCTGCTTAATTGTACCTCTTGACATAGTCATTTCTAAGCTTTGACTAGCGTGAAAGGACCAAAACAGAGACCAGCAGAGGTGATGGGGGACTTCATCCACTTCTAGATAGAGTTTCAGGAATTGCTCAAATCCCACGAAGCCAATGACCTATGATAAGAGTTGAGCATTACACTGGGGAGTCTGCAGGACAGAGAAGCTGAGGACGAGGGAGGAATGGGGAGCCATACAATAGAGGCCCTGCTGCCAGGCACCAGAGGCAGAAGAATGGTTACTTGGGCCATCTCCTGAGTTACTAGGATCCCTTGCCTTGTTCTAAAGCAATGGCTCCAGTCACAATCAACAATGGGGTATTTGGAGGTGGGAAAGCAAGAAGTGGGTCCACGAAAATTCCCGCAAGTTGGGAGTCAAGGAGAGGGCGCCCCATTGTCACTCACATCTTCTTGGCAAAATCTGGTCATGTCACCATCCTTAAAGAGCTTCAGAACATCACTGACCTTTCTGGTGGAGTCTGGGTAAGAAGAGAGTAAGACAAGATTAAGAGCATAGCTTGGTTCTCCTGGCCTTCCGCCATCTACAGGAACAAAGGTTTGAATGAGAGGAGAGACTGCAAGAAGGGAAGAGCCTTTCCGCTTCTCCACAGCAATGCCCTTGTTTTCTCCACTGAGGCCTGGAGCAAGCAGTCAGGTAGGGGAAGCGTGGGGAGAGAGCTGAGGCCTTAGCATGGGCTGTATGAAAAGCGGATCAGCTCTAGGTGGCTGGGACACTGGGGTGGAGGGTACGGAGAAGGAAGCCTCCAGAACTGAGGGGCTGGGAGAAAGACTCACATTCCATGTATTGTTGCAGCTGGGCAAAGTCTTCTGGGCTGATTAGGCCCTTCTCTTTGGCCATCCTTTTTCTCCTCTTAAGCAATAGCACAAAAAGAACCCGGTAGTACAGCTTATTGCGTTTGGGTTTGTGTTTCGGAGGGTAAACCTGGGGAGAGACGGGAGCCGTCATGGAAAGTGGCTAGCTGTCTACATCTTGTGCCGGCTTTCCCTGTGCCTGTCTCTAACTCTCCCCGACAAGACTGTTCTCTGTCTTCCTTTCTCTGACTCATCTCTGACATTTTCTTTCATTTCTGGGTCCTTCTTCCACTCAGACTTCTCCCATCTGTTTGATTCAACACACACACACACACACACACACACACACACACACACACACACACTGCGCCTGGCCTTTTTCAGTCCCCTGCCCCCACTTCAGGCTTTGTGGCCTCTGCCCATCTCCTCCCGCCCTCCTGAGAGTCTCACCTCAGCGCACCTCACATGGCAGGACCCCATCTTGCTCTCCCTCCAGCTACCACTCCCCGAGCCCCGACACACAACGACCTCTAGCGCATCTGAGACGAGGCTCAGAACTAGCGGGGAGCGACCTAGCTCTGTTCACATCCCATGGGGCTCTACAAGGGACGGGAGGGAACTTGGCTCGTGGGACTGGGGAAGGTTGGACAGGAGACTTCCAGGGTTTCCTGGGCGCCGAACTGCGGAGCTGCAGGTTCTGCTATGACGCCAGATCCCCCACCCTGCTGGGTTACCAGCTTTTATGGAACGCCACCTTTTGGTACGGATCCCAGGATATAAGCAGGGATCCCATAGTCCTAACTCCTGCTGAAGGACTAAGTCGTAGAGGGTGACATTTCTAGACGATTTTATTTTGTCTGCTAGGGTCTCGGTACTATGTGGCCCTGGCTGTCTTCGAATTGGCTGTATAACCAAGGCTGCATCAAACTGGTTCAGCAATAGGCCTGCCTGAGTCACTGGTCCTGATAAGCTACTGTATCCAGGGCCCTGAGTCTCCGAGGCAAATGTTTTACAATCGAGCTACACTCACCTTAATTATTTAATATCAGCAACAACAAAAATTACATATTTTACAGAAGTAAATCGTTCAGGGCTGTTGAGGAGTCAGATCTAACTGGGTTCCACACTTCGCTGTGGCTTGGAATTATTACACCTGTAACAGGGAGAATGGCATCTGTGGTTCCCAGTGGGAAGTTAAATAAAATAAGATATTAAAAATAGCTCAAATAATGACAGGCATAAGTGAAGCCTACAAGAAATGGCAACTATTACTGTATTAATACAGCTAAAATTTTAAAGGAAAACTTTTTTTTTTCCCCCCAAGACAGGGTTTCTCTGTAGCTTTGAAGCCTGTTTTGGAACTAGCTCTTATAGACCAGGTTGGCCTCAAACTCACAGAGATCTGCCTGCCTCTGCCTCACGAGTGCAGGGATGAAAGGCATGTGCCACCACTGCCCAGCAAAAAAAAAATTTTAAAAGAAATAACACAAAAAGAATTAAAAGTTAAAATAAACAAATAAAAAACAGTGTGGTGTCTCATCACCTGTAATCAAGAATTTAGGAAGATCAAGGCCAGAGAGGACCATGTGGTGAGAAACCTCTCACCCTTCCATCTCTGGGGGGGGGGGATGT